ACATCTAATATAAATTATGATTTATTTTTTATAATAAAATTATAAAACAACATTTGAAGAGTAATATGATATATTTGATACTTAAATAGATCAAAAATATAGTGAAATTTGAGTTTTTGGCCTTCTATTTACCATATATATATATATATATATATAGACAGAGAGAGGGGTTGGTTATTATACAACCTTTGACATTTGTGCAACCAATACAACGCAATCTCAACCGTCCATTTCATTTGATTAATATGTGATTTCATAGAAGTTTTGATTGTTTCCTAATATAAAGTATTGATCATAATTAATGAACCATATTCATCTTTCATAAATATTCAAACCATAATAAATGAACTCTCATAATTTCCATAAATATCTTAATTTATTGAGTTGCATTGATTGTACAAATGTGACGGGTTGTGTTTGAAACAAATACTATATATATATATATATATATATATATATATATATATATGTGGTTTATTTCAAATACAACCTACCGCATTTGTACAACCAATGCAACCCAATAAATTAAAATATTTATGGAAATGATTAGAGTTCATTTATTATGATTTAAATATTTATGGAATATGAATACGGTTCATTAATTATGATTAATACTTTATATTAGGAAATAATCAAAACATATATATATATAGAGGTTGGTTATTATACAACCTTTGTCATTTGTGCAACCAATACAACTCAATCTCAACCGTCCATTTCATTCGATTAATATGTGATTTTATAGAGGTTATGATTATTTCCTAATATAAAGTATTGATCATAATTAATGAACCGTATTCATATTCCATAAATATTTAAATCATAATAAATGAACTCTAATCATTTCCATAAATATCTCAATTTATTGGGTTGCATTGGTTGTACAAATGCGACGGGTTGTATTTGAAACAAACTCTCTCTTTCTCTCTCTCTCTCTCTCTCTCTCTCTCTATATATATATATATATATAGGGGTTTAATCAAATGAGAACTAATTAGTTTGTGGTAACCGTGAGGTACAATCTCAATCACAAATCAATAGATAAATTAGGAAATTTAAAATTTAGATAATTTTTAATTAAAATTTTAATGCAAGGACATTTTAGGTATTTTTCCTCCTCTCTTCTCTCTCCGTCTCCTGTCCGATCTGGCCTCCGGCCACCGTCTTTCGGTGATACCGCAGTGATATCACAATGCATCTTATATGTGATTGGGTATCACATTGTGGTCGTCTGTGCGGTCGATCGGATATGTAACACAGTGGTATCACAATACATCTTATATGTGCTTGAGTATCACATTGTGGTATCACCGGAGGACGGTGGCCGGAAGACGGGGACGGAGAAAACAGAGAAAATAACTAAAATGTCTGCAATAAAATTTTAATTAAAATTTACCAAAATTATAAATTTTCTAATTTATTAATTGATTTGTGGTTGAAATTGGATCTCACAGTTACCACAAACTAGTCAGTTCTCCCTTGAATGGACCCTTATATATATATATATATATACACACAAAGAGAGAGAGAGAGAGAGAGAGATAGAGAGAGAGAGAGAGAAAAGTGAGTTATTATACAACCATTTACATTTGTACAACCAATACAACTCAATATCAATCGTCCATTTAATTTGATGAATATGTGATTTCATAAAAAAAATTGATTGTTTTCTAATATAAAGTATTGATTATAATTAATGAACTCTAGTCATTTTTCATAAATATTCAAATCATAATAAATGAACTCTCATCATGTCCATAAATATCTAAATTGATTGGGTTGCATTGGTTGTACAAATGTGATGAGTTACATTTGAAACTTACTATATATATATATATATGGCATATTTCAAATGCAACCATGCCCATTTGTATAACCAATACAACTCAATCAATTGAGATATTTATTGAAATAATGAGAGTTCATTTATCATGATTTGAATATTTATGGAAGATAACTAGGGTTCATTAATTATGATCAATTCTTTATATTATAAAACAATTACCATTTTTATGAGATCACATATTTATCAAATTAAATAAACGATTGATATTGAATTGTATTGATTATACAAATATAAAAGGTTGCATAATAATTCACCTTCGTCTCTCTCAGTATATTTTATATATTGAAAAAAGGTATTAAATGCATATCTATCACATTCTCGTTATAAAAGGACCTTCACAGTGACATATCATTTGCAACAACCATCTCTTCTAGATTTATACCAGTGTTTGATGGCCATGGAAATTCAAGTCATTTCCAAAGAGAACATCAAACCATCTTCCCCAACACCACCCCACTTACAAACATTCGAGCTTTGCCTTATAGATCAGATCGTTATCCATCCCAGTTACGCAACCCTCGTCTTATTCTACCCTAATCACAACGCCGACACCATTCTTCAAGCCCAAGCAAAGGCATCAGCTCTAAAGGATTCTCTATCGAAAACCCTAACTCACTTTTACCCACTTGCAGGAAGAATCAAGGACCATTGCTCAATCGATTGCAACGACGTCGGTGCTTATTATGCTTTAGCTTTGGCCCACGGTCGTCTCGACGAGTTTCTGAGCCTTCCTGACTACACCTGGATGAACAGCTTGCTGCCCTTTCCATCTGGGTTCGAGCCCGCCGGTGAAGATGCTCGCATCACAAACATTCAAGTGAACATCTTCAAATGTGGTGCAATCGCTATCGGGTTATGCATTTCACACAAGATCGTTGATGGGGCAACAGTCTACACGTTTCTAAAAGGATGGAGTAACATGGCCTTTGGAGGGAAAGAAGTCGTCCATCCAAACTTAACCGCACACTCTCTCTTCTCCGCAACAGCCTTGTGGCTTCGAGAACCATTAACGGCTATGTGGGAGTCGTGGTTCAAGGAAGGGAAGTGTGCCACAAGAAACTTCGTGTTCGACGCTGGTGCCATATCCGCACTAAAAGCCGAAGCAACCAGAAATGGAGTGCAGAACCCTACACGTGTCGAGGTGGTATCTGCTTTGTTATGGAAGTGTGCAATGGAGGCATCCAAGAAAGCACATGGTTTCAAGAAGCCATCTCGGTTAACCCACGCGGTGAACCTCCGTAGAAAACTCCCATCAGCCGTGTCGAAAGACTTGGTCGGTAACGTGATTTGGCTCACATCTTCAGAGTGGCGAGCTAACCACTGCACCACATTGCATGATTTGGTGAAAAAGGTTCACGAATGTATTGCAAAGCTCGGCATCGAGTTCGTGAACAAAGTGCAAGGTGATAAAGGGTATGTTGCCATAGAGGAGTCGATCAAAGATAGGGGTGAAATTGGGTCGAAAGGGACCATGGACAACTACCTGATTTCGAGCTGGTGCAGGATGGGTTACTACGAAATCGATTTTGGTTGGGGAAAACCGAGTTGGGTGCCTGGTTTTATAGGCCATGGAAGCTCGGTGTTCGCGAATATCGTGAATCTAATGGACACAAGATGTGGTGAAGGAATTGAAGCATGGGTGAATTTGGATGAAAAAGAGATGGAGATTCTGCAACGCGATCCAGAGCTGCTGGCATATACTTCATTAGAGCATAAGCAACGGAGTTTCAGAGGTTTCTCTAAGATGTAGAATTCGAATTCAAAATCAACGAAAGGGATGATGTATTTAACTCATAGTTTATCAATTTTGGAAATTACATCAATTATATTATTAAAATATTTCTTATATTTATTAAGACCAGAAGGGTACTCGCGTAATAGAAGAGATACATCTCGATTTTAATGTTTTATTTTATTGTTTGTCTTTGTCGATGTTATAATACGATTTTATGTGTTTTCAAGAAAAGAAATAATGATTTTAATTTTGAATAAAATATAAATTTGAAAATATAAAAAAAAAATTGAAAAAAAAATATCAATGTTAATATCAAATCAACTATTTAAAAGTTCTGATTTTTTATGTAATTTATTTAATTTTTTTATTATAATA